CAGTTACCAAGTACTTGGTCTAAAGATTCTCCTTTTAGTATTGAAGAACAAGAAACAAGAACAAGAAACAGCCAAGAGATCAAGCCAGAAGTAATTGAGATCTCCCAAGTTTCATCAGAGGAGAATAATCTATTGATTAGGGCCATAGAGGTCTGCTGTTCAGAACTCTAATACCCAGGATGACTTTAAAATATGGAATGACAAGGAAGTTACTTTCTAGTGTCATTTTTTAAGTTTAATTCTGTATGTCTGATGCAGAATAAATCTTAAGGGGCACATAATCCAATGAATAGAACTAAGGATAGAAGTTAAAAAGAAAGAGGCGTAAGTAAATTTATAACAGGCACATAAAATGCAGCCCCAGCCATCATACTATGCAATTAAAAACGGGAGAGGGATATGAAACCGTTTTTAATGCAGGTATTGTAGTATTTAAGTTTGCTAGAGGAAAAGGGGCCTTGTACTCCATCTGAGGTACTCCAGATTCTTTCCCTTAATTATCCAAACAATCTGAGGTTAATGGTATATTTGCTAGACATAGTCTCAGTGGTAGTGTCCAGAGAGCAGTAGAATATAAGTGAGAATTTCTGGAACCATAAGAAGAACACATAAAGAAAAAAAATATTTCTTCTAAGAATTGCAGTTTTCTGTATTTTTCCTTTAATTTTTAATTGCAGTCCTCCCAAATATCCCTTCCTACTCCAAATTCTTCACAGAAAATCATTATCATCCTTGAGGATCAAAAATCCTCCTCTTCCCCACACCTGATAATAAGACCATAGTTTTTTTTGTTTTGTTTTTAAAGATTTATTTATTTATTTATACAAACACTGGGTACAGTCAGAAGCACGGGAGGGTGAGAGAATTCACCAGAGCCAGAGCAGGGAGCAGAACAGGCAGACTGACGAAATACACTGCTGAGGGGAGCAGCGGGCGGCAGGAGAGGTCTGTGCGCCATGCGGGACCCTCCTCCGGTGGCCGGGAGCAGCAGCCGGGGCAGCAGCCGGGGAGCAGCCGGGGATTGAACCAGCGCTGCAGAGACTGCGGGCAGCTTCGTAACCCAGCGCTCAACCGCTGCGCCACCGGGGAGGCCCTCATAGTTTTGTTTTTTATCCATGTTAAACGAAAAGGATTGAAAACTTCATTCTTGGAAAAATTTTCTAAAATTCACAGGTATACAAAATACATAGAATATGAGCTAGCTCCATGAGAATAAGAGATATTTATTTATACAAAATCAGTATATAATAAGTATATATAATATATAATACCATAAAAGTTTTGTACCCAGCACCATTCTATTTCTTTGTTAATTTTAGAAGATCACATTGATGGATATTTTTATGTTGAAAATCTACATGTGTTTCTTTCACATGTAGATTTTACCTTGTTTGGTGATTGTTGTGTTTGTCTTTTAATATAATATTGAATTCTAGTAACTGTTGTCATTGGAGTTTATACATTTCCAATCATAAAATGATTGGCTTAGTTCTCTCTGTCTGTTTCCTTGTTTTTGCCTGGTTTGACATTATAATCTTAAAGATGGAGTGGGGGGTCATTTTTTCTTTTTCTTAGCTCTGGAGTATTTTTTATCTGTTACTTGAAGTTTGGAAGATTTTCCATTTAAATATCTGAAGTTGGCACTTCAATTCCTAGCTCTTGTAGACTTTAATTTAATAACATTTTTAAGGAAGGCATAACATTTTCTAGATGTTTATAATATCTATGTTTGTAATCTATGTTTAAGTCAGTTATAGTAAGTTTATAGGGTATATTGAAATATTCAAATTTTTTGTTGTGTTATTTTTCTCATTCTTAATGTTGATTACTTCTTAGCAAAACCACTCATTTAAAAAAAAAAATTTACTGAAGTTTTATTTTATTGGACTTTTCTAAGTGGATTTTGTTTTATTGATTAAACCTGCTGTTTTCTACTAATTTCTGCTAACTACATCAATCCCTTCATTCTCTTTGGGTCTCTTTGTTTTTTCTTTTTCCTTTAGCCTGAGCTCATTGTTTTTGTTGTTTTACTTTCCAGTCATTCTTACGTTAATAGTAATATGTTTAACAAGCTCAATTTTCCTGTTGCTAATATTATGACTACTCAGTACTTGAAAGTATATGTAGTATGGTTCTGTCATTAATTTAAAAATCATTTAAACATTTTTAGATTAAAATTTATATTTTTATGTCCAAGAAAATACTTTCTTTTGTTTTGCTCTTCCTTTTTCCATTTCCTTTCTTCAATTGCTTTTCTTCCTTTTTTTTTTTTTTTTGTTCCTGCTACCATTGAATTTGAGACTACATTTTCTGGGAGAAGTGTTATTTTACATACTAAGAAAGAAAAAAAAATGTTCAATGTTCGATTAGCTTACAAATTGAGTGCTTTCTTTTTATTCATATTTTTAAAATTTGTCCTAATTGAAAGAGGCCTGAAGATTAAATGTGGCACTTTGTTTTTTTTTTAAGTTTTTTATTATTATTTATTTTTTGCATCATTGTTCATTTTTAAACAATATTTTCTTCCCCCTACCCCCCAGGTGTAGTCCCCGTAGAATTTCCTTCACCAATGCATCCGCGCACCATCATCACAGTCCCCTGTGCTCCTCCCTGCCTCCCTCTGTTCCCCATCCCTCCTCCACCCCTGCAGGATGTGTCTGATTTATAATTGTCTGTTTTTGTTTTGTTGTGTTTTGTATTGTTATTATTTTTTTACACTGATGTCTTACTTGGGTCCCCTATATTCCTCCAATAAGTGAAGCCATCAGTTATTTTACTTTTTCCTTCTGACTTATTTCACTGAGTATTATTCCTTCTAGCTTCATCCATGTTGCTGCGAATGGCATGAGTTTATCTTTTTTGATTGCTGTGGCACTTTGTACAAAACTACCTGAACTTTTCAGTGAATTCCTTTCAGATAGCAATTGGATAGCAATTATATCTCATCTCTGTCATTCTCCCTCAGATGGCCCTTATGTTACTTGTCAATGATTCACACCATCAGAATAATAATTCTGTAACTAGAGCAAAATAAAACATTTACCCAGGCACAGACAGTAACAACTATAACTACTGCTTCTGTAATGGTAGATAAATGCTACTATTAATTCCAGTGTGAGAGATACAAAGAATTATGTCTTAAAGCTGATAGAATATAGTATACTTTGATGTTAATTTTATTTAGTTGAGGTGAGAGGATGTAATATAACTTTTGCTTCCTAAAAACTTTTAAGACTATCTTATAATTACTTTTTCCACTTTTTTTTTTTTTTAATTTCTTTTCTGTGTCTGACATGTTGACTGGACAAGAGAGATACTTCCAAGTCAAACATTTTTTCTGTCTCGTGGAATTTAATTTTGACTGGAAGTTAAACACTTTGGTTGTGGTTGAAAAATAAAGGCAATATTGGCTCAGGAAGTATCTGAGAACATTTCTTCTGTGCCCTTCTATTTTCTTTTCTTTTTTTTTTTAAGATGTTTATTTATTTATACAAGCACTGGGTACAGTCAGAAGCGCGGGTGGGTGAGAAAATTCACCAGAGCCAGAGCGGGGAGCAGAGCAGGCAGAAGGACCGAAGTACACTGCTAAGGGGAGCAGCAGGCGGCGGGAGAGGTCTGTGCGCCATGTGGGACCCTCCTTCGGTGGCCGGGGAGCAGCCGGGCATCGAACCGGCGCCCCGGAGGCTTACGGGCAGCTTCGCAACCCAGCGCTCAACCACTGTGCCACCGGGGAGGCCCTGTGCCCTTCTATTTTCTAACTTCTTTAAGTAACTTCTTCCCCTGGCCTTTCTGAACCACCTGTTCAATAGATAATAGGTTCCACCTGCTCTGTATTTAAACTTTATCCAATATTGTAGTGCCTGGAACACAATAAGAGCTTAAGAAGCACATGATGAATAATGAATGAATGTTAATTTCTGCTCTATATCATCAATAGTTACCACCTAGCTTGTGATTAAAAACTCAGTACAGGAATCCTCACTCCTACTACAGCAAAGTTCTTAGATGTATCATAGCATTTGTAATTACTCACTAATGAAATCTGATAATGGGACACAACGAATCATATTCAGTGGCTTTCAATGGGTTGGGATTTTTTTTAAAAAAAAACAGTATAAGATGTTATCTGGTGATATTTCTTTTGAGGTACATATGGAGTATTTGTCTTAATTTATTTATTTATGATTTATTTATTTATTTGTACAAGCACTGGGTACAGTCAGAAGTGCGGGAGGGTGAGAGGATTCACCAGAGACAGAGCGGGGAACAGAACAGGCAGACTGACAAAACACTGCTGAGGGGAGCAGTGGGCACGGCAGGAGAGGTCTGTCGCGCCATGTTGGACCCTCGCCGGTGCCGGGGATCGAATCAGCGCTGCAGAGGCTGTGGGCAGCTTCGCAGCCTAGCGCTCAACCACTGCGCCACCAGGGGAGGCCCTTGTCTTAATTTATAATTTGAATATATTTCTACTAATTTATAAAGTATATATGGTTAAACATGTTCATGATTTTAGGAAACCTGAAAATTACTATTTAATGAATAGTTATATAAATAGCATGATTCATTTTACTGTAACATAATGATCTATTTGTAACATTTTAGCTTATATAAAATAAATAATATAATGCAATTATATTTAGAAAAACAAGATAATTAAAATTTTAATTGAGTTGGTTAATTGTTAATGTGGTTTTTGTTGTTAAGATGTATGTATTCCATAAGGAGGAAATTAGGTTCTTAACATATCATGTACCTGAGTTTCTTCTAAAACAGAAATATGTTTAACATACATACAATAGTCTAGAGGTAAAGATAATGCTTCATTTTTAGTTAAAATTGGAGGTAGAGGAGCATATGACTGTATATACTAAAAAAAAAAAAATCCACCCACTTGTATTATATTAACTTTGTTCAAAAGGTAATGGTGTTTTTGAGCTAGAAAAATATTGAATGTGTTATAGCCAGAGGGATGTTAATACATTTTCCCTTTTTCCTTCTAGCACACTGATTTGTGTCAGTACATGGACAAGCACCCTGGGGGGCTGCATCCAGATAATGTGAAGGTAGGAAAAGGTCTTTTAAACCAAGGGTTAATTCTCTTTGTGTGCATTTTTTGAACCAGTCTAATGTCTTTATCATAACTTGAATATTTTTTATAAAGAAAAATAGTATTGAAGTCAACTATTATTATTGCTTCATTTAATGACTGGACACCTTGGAGTATTATTGTTTAGATATTATACTATTTTTTCTTCATGGAGTAACATTTGCCAATAATGAATCAGCTCCTCTGGAATCCTGTTGTAACACTATTTTCAGTGAAGGGGAATCTCAAGTAGTAACTTCAGCTTGGAACCCCATACCAAATTGCCAGTTGGTTTCAGTGTAAAATATTACTATGTTCGCAAACAATGTTATGTTGAGCTCATAGTGCATGTTTTCATTTGTATGTACAACTGGTGAAAACGATTCTATTTCCTTTTGCTGTCTTTCATTTCTTTTACTACAAATTGGATTACTATCTGTCAAAAGAACTAAGTTTTTTAAAACTTTGACCTGGCAACTATCTTGGAATATCATTCCAACATTTCAAGCTTAAAACAGGAAATTCTTTCTTGGTATGTGTTAGGAAGTTAGAAGATCCCCAAGTTATATTTAAAAGGTTGATGACATGCTCCCATTTTATGATTCAAATGATTACATTTTATGATCATGAGAATCAGTTGAGAACTGTGAATATATCTGAAGTAAAACTATTCATCTCTATTTCTTCCCATTCATTATCTACACCACCCTACAATATTTTTTCTCTTTGTACTTTTCCCCTTTGCTTCTGTAGGTATATGTGCCCATGTGGTGTTTTGTGTGTTTACTTATACATTTTTTTCTTGCTTTATAACATTATTATTACAAAGCCTTTTTCACTTAAAATATATCACGAGTATCCTTTTAAACATGGTTATATAGTTCAGTCTAATAACTGAGTATTAAGCTACACTACATATTAACCATAATTTCCAACTGTTTTTTATTAATGGATCTTTGGTTTGTTTCCAGAATGCTGTTTGAATGATTCTAGAGTGAATGTTACTACAAATCTTTTTATTCTTATTCCCTTTGTATATGTAGTTAATGAATTTTATCTGTTATTTATAGGAGACATGATTTCAGTATTAAAGAATTTGATTGGGATATTTGCCCACAAATTTGTAGATTATTTATTTTAAATCTACTCTCGCTAGTGTTGACTAAACCCAGTAATTTAAATTTTTTGCCATTCTGATAGTTAAAAATACAATGTCTTTTACATTGGTATTTTCTTGACTGCTAGTGACAGTGAATATCTTTTCAGTGTTTCTTTGCCATTTGTAAGTAGCTTTTATAAGTTGCCTATTCCTGTATATTACCTATTTTTCTATTGAAATTTTTTTCTTAATAAGTTGCAAGTGCTCATTAGCATTAATGATTTTTATGGCGGTCAGTTATGTGGTATAATTTAGGATGTAGGAACTTGTAGAAACTCTAAAAAACTGTTTGTAAAGAAATAAAGCCAATATGGTACTTCCAGTCTTTGTTATTCATATATGTGTGTGCATTGTTGTCATTGTTTTATTTATAGAGGTCTTTAAATTTTTTTGAGTTACTCATTTTGCTTCAAAATCTATCAATTGACAAATTTTTTATTAGTTACATTGGGGGAAGAAATTTTAATAGATGATGGGACTTATAAATCTTGCCTGTGTTCAAATCCAACAAATAATATCATAACAAAGATAGCTTGACTCTTCTTTTTTGCATGAAACCATCTCAAACATTCTCATTTATACATTTATGTTTATCATCATTTTCATATTGAAGAGATAATAGTCATACCTTCTCTAAAGATAAGGGAAGTTAATAAATAGAACACAGCTTATTAATGCCTATGTTTTGGCATCTCAATTGTGGTTCATAGAATCAGACAGCCCTTATTACCATGTTGGTTTCCATGGGAGGTCAGTCACCTAATTATGCACTGGCTTTTCTTTACCATTTGTCTAGAGACAGTGCAGTCCTTCAGAGTTAGGATCTGCCCTGCAGGTGACATTGTTCTCAAAGAAATCTGACTATGACATAGTGACACATGCCCTACAGGTATTTCTATATGGTGTATTAACATATTTTTTTTCATGTGGTGATATTTATTGTCACTTAAATCTATGAATGCAAAATGAAGAACATTAGAACAATATTTACTAAGATAACAGCTGTTCATAATGCTGTGCTAGATGTTAATTAAAAAACAACAGTTGTGCTAAAATAAGACCCTACAACGGTTCCATATAAATTAAAGAAAATGTGAAAATCAAGTGAGATAAGCTATTATCTTTAAAAGAGCATGTTCCTTTAATAAGTCTGAAGTTCTCCTTTAATAAGTCTGAAGTTGGCCAAATACTTTATAGATCGTTAAATGATTAGAATATGATAAATACTGAATATTATGTTGAAGGAAAGCATAATGATCGCTTCCTTTTGCTTCTAAACTTGGTAATGCTGACTTCTAGTTTTAGTTCTATGCAATAGAACAGTATATGGAAACATCCTAAACATTGTCATTTAATGAAGTGTCATTAAAACAGGAAAGGAAAAGAAAACAACTGGAACAGCACATAACTCATCATTTCATAGGAAAGCAGGAAATATTCTATGGTAATTTTGTGCTAACTCCCAGCAAAACATCTGTTAAAGTTTTATATTTCTTGATGAATTTCGTTATAGGCACTGGAATAGGGTCATCACAAAAAAGTGTCAATGTTAACTAAATTTTTAGTATCATTTTGCTGCTTTAATTGCCTATAAAAATAAAATGTATCTGGTATCAATATGACATTCTGAAATAAATATTCACTATTAACTAATGATTTGTTTCTTAGCATATTACCAATTTTAGACAAATGGGTAATTTTAGCAGTTAATCATTTAGAGGGCAATTTAAAACCTGAATCAAAAGCCTGAGGACTTTGGCCATTTTATAAATATTTATGATTAAAGGGATAGCAACCAATTTCTAGAGTATGATAATTGATATGTAGGAAACTGGTTAGTATATTGCAAGGATGGCAGTTTATTTTTCCCCCTTTGTATGAATGTTTTGGGATTTGACTAGCATAGTTTAGTTAAAAGCCAGAATTTGCCTTAGTTCTCCATTTTATATTTTCAGTGATTTATAGATTGATCGTTGAGTTTAAAAGAATCACCCTGATAGTCTGAATTTCTTCATTCATTTTTTCATGTGCACTTTAAAAATTGATAAGCATGAGAGACTGAAAATTAAGGTTCAGGAAAAAAACCAGAAAGATTAATTGATGCTGTCTCTGGCTGATAGCCAGAAATGTAGATGCCTGAATCTTATTACCATGATAAGATCGAATTTTCCTATGTTTTATGTAATATATCTCCACTCCATGTTATTATAATGACTTTTCTAGAATATTCCTTGCAAAAATACACTTGCCATATTTTAATTGAACTGTTTTGGAATAATTAAAAATACCCAAAGTAATTCTGAATTCCCTGCCTTATTCTCTGAAGTATCTGAATCCTATTGTCATAAAGCTTAATTTTATTTTTTATTTCAGTATCTATATTAGTTAAAAAGTTGTGAGGATTACTCTGGTAGGAAAATGCTATTTTTCTTTAATAGTTCAGAGAACAAGCAGGTGTATAACAGGCAGAATAATGTTATGTCAAATTAAGATGGTCTCATACAGATGGCACAGAGAATTGATTTGTAAATGAGACTTTCTAATGTTCAGATATAAAATCAGATAACATCTGATTTTCTCCACATTTTGCATTAGAGCTCTCATCTAGCTGCTAATGATTTCCTACTATGCATTACTGTGAATATTATAGAGCTTTTCCTCATTTGGTATTTTTTGCTGTATTATTATTTCATGAGACCATTAAAGTGTCTTAAAAATCCTTTACCTAGTATTAGCACCTGTCCAGGTTTCTTTTGAAACATTTCATCTTATTTTTGTAAGAACAAAATAATCTTTCATATATAGAAGTGAAGGATTAACAGTAACAGAAAGTAAAACTCCATGTGTCAAATCATATCATGTTAGGCATTCAAAGGGTGTCTAAGTAGAGTTAAGATGTTGGATCTGTGTTGCTTGCTTAGAACATGACTTTTGTATGCTTGGCATCACCTGCTGATCTGCTGGTAACAATTTGTATCAGACAAAGGAATCAAAGCAGCTAATTAAACAACAGACTCTTTCCTAGAGGTACTTTAAAATCCAGATTGAAAAGAAATCACCACAAAGATTGATGAAACACAGACAATCATTGCAAGTATGCCATGTGATATTTTGACTATGGAATTACCTGGCTGGGGAGTACACCGTGCAAATAGAGAGAATACCCTCTTGGGTTTCAAGCTCCAGCCCATTTACCTTTCCTTGCTCCTTTCTAAGATGGATTTACACCAGACTCCTTTGTTTGTGTTTGCCAAAACAAACATGGATACCCAGGAGGGAAATCAGCCTGATTATAATGTATACATACTGGCAGGGATTTTTCTGATTGTCTCAGACATCCTGGTGCCAGTATGTCTAATTGATATTTCTCATTAATACATAATTCCTATTATTTAAGACTTCTCTGACAGGATAGAGATTTGTTGATTGTTTGTATTTAAATTCCAAGTCTTTACTTGTCTCCATTTGAAATTTATTATTCTTAGCAAGGCAGACCTCTCCTGCCGCCCACTGCTCCCCTCAGCAGTGTACTTCGGTTCTTCTGCCTGTTCTGCTTCCCGCTCTGGCTCTGGTGAATTCTCTCAACCTCCCGCGCTTCTGACTGTACCCAGTGCTTGTATAAATAAATAAATAAATCTTTGAAATTTATTATTCTTTTTGGTACAGTTTGCAGGTGTGAGCTTTCTCCAAGACTCTTAGACTGAAGATTCATCATTTTGTCAGTTTGCATCGCTCTCTTTTGTTTAAATTTAACATTAGCCATACTAATCGACAGTAAGGAAGTGATTTATGTGTTGTGTGTATATATATATACATAT